TAGCAGTGGCATTTCTACAGAGTAGCTATTCATCCACTGTAATTCAAATTGGAATTTAGGAATTGATTTTTGCGGAGGGAGGAAAACTGGAGAACCCGGAAAACCCTCAAAGCACAGGAGAGAACCAACAAACAACTCTACTCACATACAACACCGAGCTCAGCGGTACTCGAATCCGGGTCGCATTGGTGAGAGGCGAGCGCCCTCACCGCTACGCCACCCATGCTTCCCAAAAACTCTACTCACGTCTTAGGGTGATCAGTGCCAAGCCCAGGAATTGAGCCTGATTACTGGCCTCAAATGTTTATTAATTTAAGTAATGACGTATCAATTAAATAAATGCTTCAAAGTTTTATTCCTCTTCGCTGAGGCAATTGATTATTCGTTACTACATATGTTCTACTTTTATTTTAYTTTATTCTACTTGTGAATCCTTTTCGTTATCAGAGGTTTTCATTCTCATGTAAATCCTGGTAAATGTTCCATTACCTTATTTTCCCCTCCACTTAATTTTCTTTGTTTTTAAGGCTTTGTGAATTTCGCAATGGCCAACATATCGACCACATCCAGTGTCTCCAACTGTCTCAGCATATAATCTTGCTGAATTTTGGGCGGAATTACGGGACAATCCAAATCCGAACACTACACCAGGGCATGATATGTTGGGAGGGACATAGCGTGTGTTGCAGCTAGCATAGTACGTGTTTTTGACGATCTTTTTAAAGGAAAGAGCAAGGACAATACGCACGAAAAAAACAATCGGAACGCTAGCTTCGGTTGGAGGGATAGAAACCAGAGAAAGAAACACAAAAGCAACGGTAGTAATCAGGATAAGCTTCATGTTTCTAGACAACTGGCTTTGACCAATTTCACTGATGAAAACAACTAAGGGAAGAAATCAAAATATGCCTTTACCACATCTTGAACAAATATCATTTCGAAAGATTACCATAAGTAAGAAAGAAGAGATAACTAGCTAAAAACTAGTGTGAGCTTCGTCGGTGTTTCTAATGAAACAGTAATGATAAAAAGGTAAATTATACACCGTGAAAAGATGAAAAAACTTACTGACGTTTCGGACGCTTGTCCTTCGTTGGAGTAAAAGACGACGAAGGACGACGAAGGACAACGAAGGACTAGCGTCCGAAACGTCAGTAAATTTTTTCATCTTTTCACGGTGTATAATTTACCTTTTTATCATTACTGTTGCATAAGTAAGAAACACAAGATCGTCTGTGTTTTAAGACATAAAAAAGAATAACTTTCTTACCTA